CCCGACGGGCCACCGTCCTGCGCAGCCCCAGGGCCAAGGAGAGCGACCCCCGCCCCAACTGAAGGGGCCCACAAGCACACAAATAAATGCACACAAGTAAAAGGATTCCCCATAGGTTCCCATATGTTCTGGGTTTGTGACTTCCCCCCCGCTTCCCATAGTTTCCCATGTTTTCCTGGGGAATCGGCGATTCATTGCGTCTGTGCGTTTTTACCTAACAGCGAAGACTGATAGGTTTCTAGTGGTGTCAAAAGAGAGCAGCAGATGACTCCACAGGGGGGTCGGGGCGGGACCCGGGGCGGCTGCCGCCGAAGCCCAAATCGCCTGGGACATCCTCGCAAAATCGCTCTTGGCGCTGCTAGAACTCCATTCCCGGCGTACATTTTGGATGCCCGGAGCCAACTGTAGGCCACTTCGTGCTCTTCGACTTCCCAGAACTCCATTCCCGGGCCAAATTTTGGATGCCCGGAGCCAACTGTAGGCCACTTCGTGCTCTTCGATTTCCCAGAACTCCATTCCCGGGCCACATTTTGGATGCCCGGAGCCAACTGTAGGCCACTTCGTGGACTTCGAGTTTCCAGAACTCCATTCCCGGGCCACATTTTGGGTGCCCGGAGCCAACTGTAGGCCACTTCGTGGTCTTCGAGTTCCCACAATTCCATTCCCGGGTCACATTTTGAATGCCCGGAGCCAACTGCAGGCCACTTCGTGTTCTTCGAGTTCCCAGAACAACATTCCCGGGCCACATTTTGAATGCTGAGGCAGGCTGATGCTGAGGCTGGGGCAGGCTGAGGCTGAGGCCGAGGCTGAAGGCAGGCTGAGGCTGAGGCTGAGGCTGAGGCAGGCTGATGCTGAGGCAGGCCGAGGCTGAGGCTGATGCTGAGGCAGGCCGAGGCTGATGCTGAGGCTGAGGCAGGCTGAGGCTGAGGCAGGCTGAGGCTGAGCCCGAGGCTGAAGGCAGGCTGAGGCTGAGGCTGAAGCAGGCTGAGGCTGAGGCTGAGGCTGAGGCAGGCTGAGGCAGGCTGAGGCTGAGGCTGAGGCAGGCTGATGCTGAGGCAGGCTAGTTCCCAGAACTCCATTCCCGGGCCACATTTTGAATGCTGAGGCAGGCTGATGCTGAGGCTGAGGCAGGCTGAGGATGAGGCAGGCTGAGGCTGAGGCCGAGGCTGAAGGCAGACGGAGGCTGAGGCTGAAGCAGGCTGAGGCTGAGGCTGAGGCAGGCTGAGGCTGAGGCTGAGGCAGGCTGATGCTGAGGCAGGCTGAGGCTGAGGCTGAGGCTGATGCAGGCTGAGGCTGAGGCAGGCTGAGGCTGAGGCCGAGGCTGAAGGCAGACTCAGGCTGAGGCTGAAGCAGGCTGAGGCTGAGGCTGAGGCAGGCTGAGGCTGAGGCTGAGGCAGGCTGATGCTGAGGCAGGCTGAGGCTGAGGCTGAGGCTGATGCAGGCTGAGGCTGTGGCAGGCTGAGGCTGAGGCCGAGGCTGAAGGCAGACTGATGCTGAGGCTGAAGCAGGCTGAGGCTGAGGCTGAGGCAGGATGAGGCTGAGGCTGAGGCAGGCTGATGCTGAGGCAGGCTGAGGCTGAGGCTGAGGCTGATGCAGGCTGAGGCTGAGGCAGGCTGAGGCTGAGGCCGAGGCTGAAGGCAGACTGAGGCGGAGGCTGAAGCAGGCTGAGGCTGAGGCTGAGGCAGGCTGAGGCTGAGGCTGAGGCAGGCTGATGCTGAGGCAGGCTGAGGCTGAGGCTGAGGCTGATGCAGGCTGAGGCTGAGGCAGGCTGAGGCTGAGGCCGAGGCTGAAGGCAGACTGCTGATGAAGCAGGCTGAGGCTGAGGCTGAGGCAGGATGAGGCTGAGGCAGGCTGAGGCTGAGGCTGAGGCTGAGGCAGGCTGAGGCTGAGGCAGGCTGAGGCTGAGGCCGAGGCTGCAGGCACGGCAGGCTGAGGCTGAGGCTGAGCAGGCTGAGGCTGAGGCTGAGGCAGGCTGAGGCTGAGGCTGAGGCTGAGGCTGAGGCTGAGGCAGGCTGAGGCTGAGGCTGTGACTGAGGCTGAACTGTTGTGCTGAGGCTGAAGCAGGCTGAGGCTGAGGCTGAGGCAGGCTGAGGCTGAGGCGAGGCAGGCTGAGCGACTACGACTGCGAGAACAGCAGAATTCTACAACTGGCGTCTCATCTGAATCTTAAGGGGAATGCTTCCAGATATGCTCCTACACATCGCTGTTAGGTTGCTTTGCCGGGATAATTGTTCCCTCCTGAAGGTCACCGTCCTGCGCAGCCCCAGGGCCCAGGGGAGCGACCCCCGCCCCAGCCGCCGAGGCCGAGGAGCGACGCGAGGCGCCGGGGGGGGCAGGGCAGCGAGCCCTCCGCGTGCGCGCCCGGCCCTCCGACGTCGTACGCCTCTTGAGGGCCCGGCGGGGCTCCCCCTGCAGAGGTCGGGGCCCCTGCCCCGGTTGTCTGCAGGTCCTGTTTGGACGCCCGAAATGGGTACGTCTTGCGCGCCTGTGTTTGGTCCCCCCGCGGCCCCCGAAAAGCCGCGCACCAAAGGTCACTCTTACCCAGGGCCACTACTGCGTGTACGCCGAACGGAGGCCGGCGGAAGTCGGCTGAATGAAGGCGGCAGCGGGTACACCGGCGGAAACTGGCGGCAAGTCTGGCGTCTGGACGCCCGAAATGGGTACGGCAAGAATGGGTACAATGCCCAACAGCAGTCCCTGTTCATTTTGAACCGGACTCGCTGTCCGCGCCGCCGCGGCCCGTGTCCACTTGAGACAGAAGGCCGCCTGCCCAACAGCGGCCGCTGTTGGTTTGGGACAACATTTGTTGCTGGGCATTGTACCCATTCTTTCCGTACCCATTTCGGGCGTCCAAATCCTGGGGGCGTCGTGATTTTGTCGCAGCGCGGCTCCCCAGCCGAAGGTCTGGACCCCTTCCCCGGGGCTGGCTTCTCCTCCCGAGTGGTTCTCTGAAGGCGCTGGAGGCGTCGTGATTTTTGTCGCAGCGCGGCTCCCCAACCAAAAATCTGGACCCCTTCCCCGAGGCCGGCTTCTCCTCCCGAGTGGTTTTCTGAAGGCGCTGGGGGCGTCGTGATTTTTGTCACAGCGCGGCTCCCCAGCCAAAGATCTGGGCCCCTTCCCCGGGGCCGGCTTCTCCTCCCGAGTGGTTTTCCGAAGGCGCTGGTGGCGTCGTGATCTTTGTTGCAGCGCGGCTCCCCAACCAAAGGTCTGGACCCTTTTACCAGGACTGGCTTTTCATCCCGAGTGGTTCTCGGACGGCCCTGGAGCCACCCACATCACACAGCGCGAAATCAAATTCGGCACTGGGGAGGAAGTCGAAGCTGGAGCCCTGGCGACATACTACCAGCGCGGGGCCTTACTGTGAGCTCTACAGGAGCACACCAGCAAGCTCCCCCAGAGCTCGAAAGTGCGCAGACACCTCCCGTCCTGATGTCGTCACGACGCGAGGAGTTCTGGATCCTCCTCCTCCTCCTCCTCCTCCTCCTCCTCCAACTCCTCTTTCTCCTCCTCCCCCTCCTCCTCCTCCTCCGCCAACTCCTCCTCCTCCGCCTCCTCCTCCTCCTCCTCCTCCTCCTCCTCCTCCTCCTCCTCCTCCTCCTCCTCCTCCTCCTCCTCCTCCTCCGCCGCCTCCCCCTGGGGGCCGTGGGGGGGCCGTGGGGGCCCGAGGGATTGCCGCGAGGCGGCTGGATGCAATACGTTATCGGACCGGCGCGCAGAGGGCGCCCCAGGTAGCGGTTCTCGGAAATGCCTTTGGCCCTCGGCCCCCTGCGCCGAGGCGCCTGCGGAGGCGCCGCGCGCGCGCGCCATTCCTGGGTGCGGGCGGGCGCGCCAGCGGGCGCCAATCCCGCTCGGAGGCGTCTCGGAGGTGGTGCACGCGAGGGGGGGGCGCGGCGGGGCGGACCTCTCCCTGGGTGCGTTCTGGCGAAGATCTCGAGGCGGACCCAGCGGTGGCCACGGGGGTCTCCCAGGAGCCCGCGCCCCCCAAGAAAAGAGTGAAGGGTCGCGGTGTGGGTACCTTTTCCTCCTCTTGAGGGTCGGGGGCGACGATGGGGTCGAATAGCCTAGGGGAGAGCACTCCATGAATCCAGGGGCGCCGATGGTACATGTCTTCGGCGAGTCTCCCAGGCGAATAATTACGTGTAGTTCCCGCCCCAGAGCTAATCGTCGCCTCCGATGGAAGGGAGGGGGGGAAGGGACGAAGGGGGGAGGAAGGGGAAGGGGGGGAGGGGGAAGCAAATCTCCGACGACGATTCCATTTTCCTAGTCCTTGCGTGCTCCTTCGACTTCGGCCGCGAAGGCCGCTTTGTCGGACCCTGGGGCCGTCAAAAATGTACCCGGGACGGGAAAACCACCCTGGAGAAGCGGTCAACCTGGGGCCGCGGATTGACAAAACGACAAAAACCAAGAATAACCAAAAAACAGATCGGCGGATGTCTAGGGGGAAGGCTGGGGGGGGGGATGGGGGGGACGGAGACAGGGTGAAAGACTGGGGGGGAGGAGAGGGAGAGAGAAAGAGGGGCAAGCTGGGTGCGTTCGCGCCACGTCGGAGATCCTACCCCTCCCACTACCGTCGGGGCATTGACCTAAGGAACCCTAAATAAGGAACGAGGCCCCTTTTTCCATAAGTCAACCTTCGATTTCCGATCGAAAACATAAGGAAAGCCTGAGGCAAGCTGTGAAACACTTAAGGAACGCGGAGCCCCTCCCCAACCAAAAGGGTTCCTTCTTCAGGGCCCCGACTGTATTGCCTTCCCGTTGCGTTGAATATTTCTGTCGGCCACCTGGAGTGTTCTACCGGACCTCGAGGCCCAAATAGCACTTGCAGGAAACCAATTGTGTGTTGTGCGATCAGCAGCAGGGGGGGTCGCACATAAGAAGAGGAGGAGGAGGAGGAGGAGGAGGAGAAGGAGGACGAGGACGAGGACGAGGACGAGGACGAGGACGAGCAGGAGGAGTCGGAGGAGGACGAAGAGGAGGTGGAGGAAGAGGAGGAGCAGCAGGAGGGAAACGAGCAAGAGTCGGAAGAGGAGGATCAGGAAAGGGAGGAGAAGGAGGAGGAGGAGGAGGAGGAACAGGGAGGAGGAGGAGAAGCACCCGGAGAAGCAGCAGCAGCAGGAGCAGCAAGATCAGCGCGGAAGCGGAGGGAACCGGGAGGGAGCCGCAGCGAGGGGCACGAGAGTCGGATCCGGAAGAGCGGCCCCTGCGGAGGGACTGCCACCCCGACCAGGCCTTGCGCAGGCCACCGCCCGGGGCCCCAGAGACCACGGAGCAGCTTGCCTCCCGCTCCGCGGAGCGCGCGCGGTGCAGAGCCCGATTAGGGCGCCACGTGCGAGCCCTGCCCCTACCCCCCGACGATTTCTGAGGGGGAGGGTGGGGTGCACTTCGCTCGGCCGCTCCCGAGCGAAGTGAACCCCACCCTCCCCCTCAGAAGTCGTGGGGGGTAGGGGCAGGGTTCGCACGTGGCCCCCTACCGATGCGGCGGGCAAGCTGGAGGCTGCGCGGCACCCGACCGCGCGCCCGTCCGTGCCACATGCGCCCGGTCGACGCGCACAGCATTTTGGGGCCGTGGCCGCGCGCGCACCCCCCGAAGCCTCCAGTCATGAGAAAAAATGCAGGACGGAAGGTGCTTCGCTGTTTCCGGCCCCTGGGGGCCCTTACCCAGCCTCGGGACGGACCGTCAACAAAAAAAAAACTTGGAATGAAAAACTGGTCCCGGGGAATGGGTCCAGACCTTCGTGGGCCCCGGAAACGGCAGGGCCGTTTTGTCACCGCTTCCAAAAAAGTGTCCCTTGAAAATGGAAACGGCAAAAAAAAAAACGGCGACCAGAAACTGCAAAAAACAGCTCCAGGATTGGAACAGGAGCCGGAACCGGTCAAGTAACGGTGACGGAACCGGTAAAAAAACGGCGTCGGAGCCGGCAAAAAGACGGCAAAACGGAACCGGTAAAAAAACGGCCCTGTCGTTTCCAGGGCCCACTAGGGTCTACACATGCAGGGCCCGCGCCTTCTAAGAGCCCCCTGCTAGGGAGGCTTCCTCCGTCCCCCGAACCCCCCTCTGCGCGCCGCCAATTTGGGCCGCTCCTGAGATCGAGGCCGGAGAGCACAACTTCGTGGCAGAGGCTCGCCCTGGGTCGGAAACAGCCCGTTCGTTCCTTCTTCAGCGTTCCTTCTGGCAGCGCGATGACCATTCTCCTTCCCATCCTCCTCCTCCTCCACCTCTTCCTCCTCCTCCTCCTCCTCCTCCTCATCCTCCTCCACTCTCCTCCTCCTCCTCCTCCTCCTCCTCCTCCTCCTCCTCCTCCTCCTCCTCCTCCTCCTCCTCCTCCTCCTCCTCCTCCTCCTCCTCCTCCTCCTCCTCGTCCTCGTCCTCCTTCTCCTCCGCCTCCTCCTCCTCCTCCTCCTCCTCCTCCTCTTCCTCTTCCTCCTCCTCTTCCTCCTCCTCCTTTTCCTCCTCCTCCTCCTCCTCCGCCTTCCCATCCTCCTCTTCCTCTGCAGGTCGCGTCGTGGAGAAAAGCCGTGACGTCGGGGGGTCTGAGAGCGGCAGGGGGCGGGGCCCGGGCAGGGCGCGGCCACGCGCTGGCACGCGGCAGCCACGGCGAGGTGCGCAGGGCTCACCCACGGGGGGGGGGCCACGCTACAGTCACGGGGACTCAAGGGGGGGGCAGCCGTGAGGGGCCATCATCATCATCATCATCATCATCATCATCATCATCATCATCATCATCATCATCATCATCATCATCATCATCATCATCATCATCATCCCAATCATCATCACAATCATCAATATCGTCGTCGTCGCCGCTATCATCAACATCATCATCATCATCATCATCATCATCATCATCATCATCAGCAGCAGCAGCATCATCATCCTCATCTTCATCCTCATCTTCATCCTCATGATAATCAACAGCATCATCACCACCATCTCCAGAATCGTCATCATCGTCATCATCAGCAGCATCATCGTCAGCATCACCATGATCAGCAGCACCAGCACCAAAACCAAAACCTGCACCATCACCATCATCATCATCATCATCATCATCATCAGCAGCAGCAGCAGCAGCAGCAACAGCAGCAGCAGCAGCACTTCTCCATTTTACCCGTCTGTTTCCTCATCCATCCCCTAATATGAATGAACCCGTAGCGGCCATCCTGCATTGCCTGACCAAGTCGCGGAGCAACCCGCAGCATACAATCTGTTTTACACGATTTGCTGGCATCCCACTCCTCCTGCTCCCCCCCCTCCCCTCCTCACACAGTATGCTGCCTCCTTCACCTCCTGCGCTGCGCCGTGCGGTTCGATTCTTGTGCCCCACAGCACAACGAGAATCGAAGCTCGGTGTCAGCCCAACTACCCGGTGGAGCCCCCGAGGGCGAAAGTCGGGGAGAAACGCTTTCGCCCAGCCCCCGAGATCGAGCAGTCGCAGTTGCTAACCGAGCGGCAGGGACAATCGAGCGATCAAGGTGCTGCACCCTGGCGGCCAGCTCAGCCTGCCCACAAGATGACTCACGTGCCCTCTCGCAGCGGACCGGTCTGGTTGCCGACAGTGGCCATGACGGCATCCTCGGACTCGCAGTACCTGTTCCGCACCTGCCTGCGACCCAGGCAGCCCTGGTGGACGAGGCGGTGATGCTCTGCCCAGGCGTCCTGTCTCCACAGGTCCACCTGCATCGGGATCTCGGGGCACCCGGAGGAAACCCTCCGCCAGGCGCTGATGGAGGCCCTACTCCTCCTCCTCATCCCCCTCGGCCTTCGGCTTTGTCTCGGCCCCACCAGCGTTCGCGCGAACAGTGGACCACGGCCACGAGGGTGACGCACTGAAAAGATTCACTGGCCTCGCAGGCTCCACGAGGGTCACGTTGTCAACGCTGCGGACAAACACCATCTTGGAATCACTGGCCGCGCAGAACTTATCCCACACATACTTGCGACCCTTGCAGCCCGCCTCGTCGAGGTCGTGGTGCTCTGCCCAGGCGTCGTGTCTCCACAAGTCGGTCTTCATCGGGTTCTTGGGGCAACCAGAAGGCATCCTCATGTAACACCCAGGCTCGTCAGGGTAGTCGACCTCGGAGTCGGCCTCCGCATCCGCCTTCGCCTGTGCTTGGGGTTCCTCGGATGTTTGACGCTTCTTGGACCACGGCCAGGATGGCGACGTTCTGAACAGATTCACTGGCCTCGCAGGCTCCACGAGGGTCACGTTGTCAACGTTGCGGACAAACACCATCTTGGAATCACTGGCCGCGCAGAACTTATCCCACACATACTTGCGACCCTTGCAGCCCGCCTCGTCGAGGTCGTGGTGCTCTGCCCAGGCGTCGTGTCTCCACAGGTCGGTCTTCATCGGGTTCTTGGGACAACCAGAAGGCATCCTCATGTAACACCCGGGCTCGTCAGGGTAGTCGACCTCGGAGTCGGCCTCCGCATCCGCCTTCGCCTGTGCTTGCGACTCTTCAGCCTTCTCGCGCTTCCTGGACCACGGCCAGGATGGCGACGACCTGAATAAATTCACTGGCCTCGCAGGCTCCACGAGGGTCACGTTGCCAATGTTGCGGACAAACACCATCTTAGCATCACCGGCCTCGCAGAACTTATCCCACACATCCGCCACCGTGACCCCTGGCACGCGGAGGCGTGGCAGAATGCAAAAGGAGCGACGATCAGAAACGGACCTCACGCGAGACGACATAGCGACCTTACGCGGTGGCTTACGCGGGCCACCAGCGCAGCAAGCCACCATTGGAGACGAGGGCGCTTACGCGCGACCTTACGCGAGCGGCTTACGCGCGAACGTCGGCGCAGGCGACCCCGCTTCCCTGCGTCGCTCGAGTGTCGTGTGGCGGGCTTCCTGTGCTTAAACAGGACCGCCGCCCCCCCTTCGTGGCACTCTGCATGCGCCCCCAAGGCCGACAGGAGGAGGGGGATGAGGAGGAGGGGGAGGGGGAGGAGGAGGAGGAGGAGGAGGAGGAGGAGGAGGAGGAGGAGGAGGAGGAGGAGGAGGAGGAGGAGGAGGGGGAGGAGGAGGAGGAGGAGGAGGAGGAGGAGGAGGAAGAGGAGGCTTGGCGCCCTGAAGAGGTGTCCCAGGATACCCAAGATCTATCTGCCTAGACAGCCGAGGCCAGCCACCCAGGCCATCAGGATGACCCAAGACGCCTCCAGGACGGCCCCAAGACGGTCCAGGATGGACTCAAGACAACCCCAGAGGCCCCCAAGACTGCCCAGGAGTGCTTCAAGCAAACAGCCCGGAGTGCCCGAGGACGCCGAGATCGTCGATGATCCTCAGATCTTCCAGTGATTGTCGCGTTCTCGCCATGTAGGACTTCCGCCAGCCCAGGACGGCCAGGGAGGCCTCCAAGATGGCACCAAAACGGCCCAAGAGGCCCCCTAGAGGGCTTCAAGGCGGCCCAAGAGGCGCTTAAGATGGCCCAAGAGGCTCTCAAGATGGCCCAATAGGCATTCAAGACGACTATTCAGGACCCTAAGAGGACCCCAAGACGGTCCAAAGAGGCCTCAAGACAGACTCTGGACGGGAGGGGGGCTGAGAGGCTCCGAAAGAAGCCCACAAGAGGCCCCAAGGGAGGAGAAGGGACGAGAGGAAGGGATGACAACGAGACACCACACGTTACGGCGTCCTGTGCGTCCTGTGCGCACCCAGAGTGCTGGGCTGGCACGGTGGCGAGGCTTGCCACAGGCAGCTGGATACTTGCGACCCTTGCAGCCCGCCTCGTCGAGGTCGTGGTTCTCTGCCCAGGCGTCGTGTCTCCACAGGTCGGTCTTCATCGGGTTCTTGGGGCAACCAGAAGGCATCCTCATGTAACACCCAGGCTCGTCAGGGTAGTCGACCTCGGAGTCGGCCTCCGCACCGACCTTCACCTGAGCGACGAATATATATATATATATATATATACACATATACATATATGTATATAGCGACCTTGCACGGAGGTTTACGCAGACCGCCAGCGCGGCAAACTACAATGGAGATGAGGGCGCTTGCGCGCGACCTTACGCGGGCAGCTTATGCGCCAATGTCGGCGCAAACGGCCCTGTTGTGTTGTTCGTCGTTCACCTGCGTGTCCGCATCGACCTTCGTCTGTGCCTCCGCCTCCTCGGCTTTACCACGCTTCTTGGACCACGGCCACGCCTCTTTGGCCCCGAGCTGAAGCGTGCTCAAAGACTTCGAACTAGACATCGAGCTGCCTCCGACGAATATCACCTCTACGTCCTGTCGGAGGAACCATCACAGCATGGGTAGCCAATGGAGGCGACTGGGAGTATGAGAGGGGCTGCACTTGCTTCGCATTATAACCCACTGCGAAACAACACTCGGAGGCAAATAAGAGATGGGTCCCCTGAGACACGCGACCGTCGAAGTGCAGCTCTCCGGGAGACAAGACGACTAACGCGTTCGAACCCCAAGCTCAATGCCACAATTCGCCGCGCAAAGGACAATCCAACTGACCAGTGGGCAGGGGCACTGCTTTCAGCTCGGCAACACCGCACAACGTCCCGTCGCTGCCACACGTTACCGATGCGACGTGTCCGAATACCCTTGCGCTTGCGAGAACATATTTATGAAATGTGGCCATCGCGCAAATCTCTCCCTTCGAATCCAAAACAACACATGCGAATCGAACTATAACACTATCCCACCTCTCCCTGTGTAATGGTGTCGCGTACACCTCTCGTGTTTGATTGTCATCCCCATAATACAACGTGTTTGCCATGTTCCGCTGTGTCTAACATGATTTCTTCGACTGGCTCTGTGCAGTTCCTACAGCTCGGACGGATCATCGGTTTGCCTCCTCCCTTTCGATTGGATAAACGTGTAACCTTCCAACTCGGACCGTCAGCGTTAGTTTGTGGCGGTCGTGGGTCAAGGGCTCATGGACTATACCCCCTACCCCCTTGCATCAAGGGCCCACAGCGACCACATGCCTGTTCATGGCGGCGTCTTGACGCAAGGGAACTGAAGTTGGGAATCGTACGAACTGCGGTATGCCTCACGTGTCCCTGGACGGCGCCCACGAAGCACCAGGCAATCTGAACAACAGTCCCACGAGCGCAATGCGCTAGCAATCCAACTCCGACGCGGACGCCCTACAGTAGATGTGCACGGCCCCCTCTCTGATCCTCTGGGGCCAAAGGCCCAAAATCTTAGCGCCCTGGCCGTCTCCAAGATCGTAATCTGTCGATCGCCTCCTTTCCCCGTTCTCCTCTACAACTAAACCATCTGAATACTACTTTCCCCCCTCCCCATGAAGTTGTCCAAAAGATCTCCAGCCCCCTCCGCGTGTTGCATTATTGCACGCAAGATTTCAATTCATGTGCATGATGTTTTGTTTGCAATCCGACTGTTCCCAAAGTTTCAAATGCTGTTCCCGCTGCATCGCGGGCCACATTTTCGGATCGGCGCGTTGCTCCCGTCGTTCAGACTGGGGCTCTCGCCATAGCGCCGGCCCCTTTTCTGGATCAGAAAATTGCTTCGGTGTGCTCCCCCCCTCGTTTCCCCTCCTCCGCCTTTTGGAGGCCTGGAAATGGGCACCAACACCAAAACAGGGGATTGCCTCCACAGGGGGAAGATGATCCTGGATTTCGGTGTTGGTGGTAATATTTCGGTCACCTTGAAAGCCAGAATATTACCACCATCACCAAGATTGGGATCGTCATCCCTCGGTGGAGGCACACCGCCGATCTTGGTGTTGGTGTCAACCTCTGGGCCTGCGAGCCTTCCCGTGATCCTCCTGTACCTCCCGCTCCGTCCACTCCAGCTCATGTTGCTGCAGTTCGTCTCGCCCCAGCGCGGACCGCTTTTCAGAATCCGAGCTTTTCTTTTTCCATGTCGCGTCCCTCAAATCCACTCATCCGCCTTCCCCTGGTTTTTTATTTTCCTACCGATCCGCCCGCTTCAGGTTTTGCTGCTGCTGTTCGTCCTCGTCCCTGTCTTCCCGTTCATCCCCCTGCCCACCCACCACCTCTTCCTCATGAGAACGCAGCTCCCCTCTTCCCGATTGCGCATAGCACGAAGTGGTCTTTCTGTGGGAGTCGCAGGTCGGCAATGACACGCGTCCGCGGATAGAAAAAATCAGCGCCATGGGAAAAGATGGAAGGAGGGATGGGATGCCAAATGAGGCGCGAGCGCACCTCCATTGCCCTTTCCCCTCTCCCTTCTCTTCCCCGGAGGGATCCAAACCTGCGACGTGGTGATTTGTCGCAACGCGTACCCCCAGAAATCCCTACCCCTTCCCCGGAACCACCTTTTCATCCTGAATCGATTCTTGACGGCCCTGGATTTCTTTTTGAATAGGCGATAACCTGGGTTATCCGGGGGGGCTGGGGGTCGGCCGATAGCCTAATCTTCGCGCTGTGGGCAGCCCTGCATATGCCCGCGCGCATCGGTGCTGCGGCCCCTACAGCTGCTAACGATGCTGCCGCGATGCTACTATTGGTGATGCGACGATGCGGGCGGATGTCTGGACAGCTCGCATTGGAATACGCGGGATGTGATTGCTAAGCGTAGCCGCGAAGTCTGTTGTACATATCTATAGAACACGCGTGCACCACACTGCCTGTGAGCACTACAAAACATGCGTGCGCCATAACGGTCTTGCACACCACAGGTGCTGCTGCAGCAGAGGCTTCCGCGTGCACCACAGCGCCTGTGGACACCCCGATGCCTGTGCACAACACGGGGTCAAGGTGCACCACAGCGTATGGCGAACATTTGCGCCACAGCGCTTCCGCGCACCTCCAAGGTCCCGCCAGGGCCCATATCTGGACAATCCCCGGGGGGGCCGAACGTATCATATTCGATATGTAAGTTATGTGTGATTATTGGTTTCCCTGGCCCAGTGCACGGTCCCTCTCCATTTTGGGCCGACCATGTTTGTGTACACCACGGTGCCTGTCTAGTATACACCACGACGCCTTTGTACAACACAACTGCTTGTGTACACCGCAGCGCCTGTGTAGACAACAGTGCCTGCGTACACCAAGACAGGCGTACACGACAGCAGCCGTTTTTTGGGGGGCAAAGCCCCAGGAAGACGGCGGTGACCGACGCCCCCTGCGCGCGCCACAAGCGCACGGATGCCCGACGCCGCCGACGACGCGTGGGCCGTCGCGACTGGGGGCGGCCGCCGACGACGCGTGGGCCGTCGCGGCGAAGCCCGCCGCCGCCGACGACGCGCGGGCCCTCGCGGCGCGGGGCGGCCGCCGACGACGCGTGGGCCGTCGCGGCGAGGGCGCTTCGGTGGCGCCGAAGAATCACACGGCTAGCACGGCCGCGTGGCGGGGGCTGCAGCGCTCGGGAGGCCTGATGCCTCGCCAGCCGCCGCGCCGTCGGCGAGGCGCGCCGAGCTGGTGGGGTGCTGACACCTCCGCATGCGGTCAGCCCGAAGACGTCAAATGCGCCCCGCCTCGCCCACGTGTGGGGGGCGCACAGGGCCGCTAAAGCTTTGATGCTGCCGAGGCGCCCCCTGGCGTAGGCGTGGCACCTCGCGCAGAGCACGTAGCCGAAGGCACGCTGTACGATGTGGCCGAGGGCATCGCGCGCCCGCGGCGGGCCGTCCTCGGCGTCGGCCTCGCCCCCCGCAGGCTCCGCTGGGCCCGCCGACGGCGGGGGGTGCTGGCGGCCGTGCAGTGGGGATCGGGACCTCGCAGCTGCCTCCGAAGTCCGCTCGCAGGGGGGCGCGGCTCCGACCAGGCCGCTGGCCGCGGCGGCGTCCTGGGTCGCGGCGTCCCCCGCTGGGGCGGGCGGCTGGCCCCCCGAGCTCGACGCTGGGCCCTGGCCACGGGCCGAGCCAACCGCGCCTGCGGTCGCGGGCTCCTGCCCCACCGCACTCGGCGCGGGGTCCTGGCCCCGATCAGACTCGAGCACTCCTGGTTGGCTGTCGGCGCCGTCGGCGGCTGCCGCAGCTGCCACCGCCGCCGCCGCGAGGGCCGCGCCTGCTGCCGCACTGGACGGCGCCGCCTTCCTGGCCACCGAGGCGATCTTGGGAACGCACGGGGACCGATACAGCACCTGCTTCGACCTCGTGGTCCGTGCCGTGCGCAGGCACACCGTGCAGCGCCAGGGGCCCGAGCCGAGCGTGCCGAACGCGTGCTCGGTGAGGAGGAGGCGGTCCTTGTTGGCCTCGTCGCGGGCCACGTAGCCGCGGCTGCTGTCGAGCCTGTCGGCGGCCGCGGGGGCACCGGCCGTGGCCACCCAGCGCGCGACGCCGTCGACGAAGAGCTGGGCACACAGCTGCCTCTGTCTATCGGCCGAGGGGGCGCGTAGGTGGCGGGCGATCCCGCCTGCGACGTGGTCGGCCTCGTAGTTCCCACGGCGCTGCTTCCACGTGATGATGCCGCGATTGGCGTGGGCGGTGGTGGCGTGGCCCTTGATCTTCACGATCGTGAGCCCCGCAGGGCCAAAGCCGCCGAAGTCGTGGAGCGCCTGCCACACCTGCCGCCCGAGATGCCCCCACGCTGAGGACGCCAGCGTCGTACGGGCCTCGCCCCGAAGGTTGATGCCGTCGACGACGAAGCTGGCGTCGCAGTGCAGCTCGATGGGCGGGATGGCGTGCCGCAGGACGATGAGCACCGCCAGCAGCTCCGCGCCCTCGATGCTCTGCCAGGGTCCAACTAGAAGCGCGCCCAGCGCCTTGGTGCGGCTGCCTGCGCCTGGGTCGAGTACCTCGGGGCCTGGAGGAAGCTCGACGACCGCTGCCGCGGCCTGCGCGCCACGGCCCTCGGCCAGCAGCGCGTCGCACAGTGAGCCGTCGCAGTACAATGGCTGGCCGACGAAAGGCTCGCCTGGCTCACCGCGACACCAGCGGAGGTGGTCGAGGAAACCGCCGCTGGGAGGCCTCCACTGGAGCTGCTGGGCTGGAAGGAGGACGCGCTCGACAAGGCACTTGACAACAGCGTTGTCCTTCTGCGGCGGCAGCAGGGCGATCTCACTCGGGAGGCTGAGGCCGTGGTCCTGGATGGCGCTGCAGCAAAGGTGCCTGTGCCAGACGTCGCCGACGTGGTTGGGGCAGAGTTCGCAAGTGTCCGAGGGGGCGTGCCTCGGGTTGTTGGCGTACTTCCTGGCGTTGGTCCACTGGCCGTCGACGATGCAGGACCTGAGGTAGCCGCGCCGCTCGCTGCTGAGGCTGGGCCAGCTCCGTGCTTCCTGGGAGGTGCCACGGCCGCTGGCCGTCCACCGCCGAAGCTGGCCGAAGTTGATGCCGACGTCGAGCCAGGAGGCGTCGTGCTTGCTGAGCTGCTTGGCCTGCCAGTGCTCGCAACTGCGGCCCAGCAGCTTCTTGGTGAGCCACGGGCTGGTGTCGCTGACGTTGTGGTGAAAGCCGTCGTGCGTGGTCCACTCATCGAGCGAGGCCGCCTCCCAGCCCACGCACACGACAGCACCCGTGTGCACCACAGCGTCTGTGTACACTGCGGTGCTTGTGCACACCACAGGGGCAACGTGCACAACAGCGCATGGCGAACATTTGCGCCAAAGCGCTTCCGTGTACCTCCAAGGTCCCGCCGGGGCCCAAATCCCACCAGCCCTTTGGGCGTGAGTGGTTTAGCGAGCCCTCTCTGTCCTCAACCCCCCTTCTTCCCCTTCGGGGAGGGGTTTACCCCTCCCCCATACCCCCTCCCCCTGGGCCTGGAGAGGGAGCCCCGCGGGTCGTCAGGGGGGTCAATTTCGACTCCTGGGAGGGCCAAAAAACGACGACCCTCACGAGGATTCTGGCCCCGACGGGGGGGCGGAGATAAGCCCCCCTGCTCTTCTTTGAAACCAAAATCGTTGATTTTACGACGGTTTTGGCCCCATTTTGGCGTCCTGAGGGGGCAGCGCTCCTCTTCCTTCATAGCAAAATCATTGATTTTACGAAGGTTTTGGGCTCAAAGAGGCCCCCAAGAGGCCCCCAAGAGGCCCCCAAGAGGCCCCAAGAGGCTCCAAGAGGCCCCCAAGAGGCCCCACGAGGAGCCCGAACGACTCACACCAGGACGAGGGGCCCGAACGACTCACACCACGAAGAGCCCGAACGACTCATACCACAAGGAGGGGCCCGAACGACTCACACCAGGACGAGGCGCCCGAACGACTCACACCACGAGGAGCCCGAACGACTCACACCACGACGCGGGCCCCGAACGACTCACACCACGAGGAGCCCGAACGAGTCACACCAGGAGGAGGGGCCCGAACGACTCACACCAGGATGAGGGGCCCGAACAACTCACACCACGAGAAGCCCGAACGACTCACACCAGGACGAAGAGCCCGAACGACTCACACCACGAAGAGCCCGAACGACTCACACCAGGAAGAAGGGCCCGAACGACTCACACCAGGACGAGAAACCCCAAACGACTCAAATCACGAGGAGCGTTTTCTCTCCCTCCTCCTCCGCCTCGTCCTTCTCCCGCTCCCCCCACAAGGAGGATGTACAATGAGGCGGGAGGAAGGAGGAACAGGGGAGATATGCGGGGCCAAGCGGACACACGCCTGAAAAACACGACTGCCGGCATGCTTCGCAAGAGTTGTTGCTGTGAGATGGGCTGGTGGGAATACGCGAAGCGTGAAGAATTTGGAAAATCCTGGGGCCCGAGCGTATAAAATTCAACATGTAAGTTATTTGTGATTATTGATTTTCTGGCCCTGTGCCTCCATTTTTTGGTCGACCGTGTGTGTGTGTACACCACAGCGCCTGTCTAGCGTGCGCCACGACGTCTTTGCACACCACAGCTGCTTGTGTACACCGCAGCGCCTGTCTACACAACATTGCCTGTGTACACCACAGTGCCTGTGTACACTCCAGCAGCCGTGTGCACCGCAAAGCCTGTGTGCACACCTGTGTACACACCGCAAGCTATATGTAAGTATTGTTTTTTCTTGCGCAGGGAACGGTCCCGTCTCTTGGGCCCGCAACACCTGTGTACACCATAGCGCGAGTGTGTGCACAGCAGCGGATGCGTATACCGCAGCGCTTGTGTACACCACAAGGTGTGGTACACCGAAATGACCGTGCAACGCAGTGTTTCTGTACATCACTATGCCTGGGATGCCTTCGCGAATGTTAAGTAGTGTTGCAACAACAGTCACGCACACCACAAAACCTGTCTTCATCATGTTGCCTGGTGCATCACGATGCCCGCGTGCACCGCGCGTGCACTTATGCTTGCGTGCACTGCAACGCCTGCGTACACAAAAGATCCTGATGCAACAGCAGCAAATGCGCGCACCAAACCGCCTCGCTGCCTGTGCACAACGCAATGCTCGTGCACGCGCTGCTCACGTGCACCTCCAGTACCTATGGACGACGTCGGTCGTCGTCGATCGTCGGTCGTCGGTCGTCCATCGTCGTCGTCGTCGTCGTCGTCGTCGTCGTCGTCGTCGTCGTCGTCGTGGTCGTCGTTCACCGTCGTCTGTTGTCGTCGGTCGTCGTCGGTCGTCGTCGTCGTCGTCGCCGTCGTCGTCGTCGTCGTCGTCGTCGTCCTCGTCCTCGTCCTCGTCGTCGTCGTCGTCGTCGTCGTCGTCGTCGTCGTCGTCGTCGTCCTCCCCGTACCACTCCAAGCCCCAACGATTCGCCACGGTGCATCCAAACACCAGCATGCTGCTACGGCGAACACCACCGCGCCGTTGAACACAGCGCTCCCTGCGAGCTCCGTGCGCCCCCCCGGACCTGCGGACCTGCACAAACGGCTAGGTTACGTTATCCTCGGGGAGGGGGGGGGGCGAGCCCGCTAACCCGGGTTATCGCCGGACCCTGAAAAAAACAACCTCTTGGGGACCCGCGAGAGCCCCCGGAGACCGACAATGGCCACAAGCCCCTTGCCGTCAAACTTTTTACCACGACGGGAAGTCGGATGGCGATATCTTCTGCAGCGCGCAAGAGCGACCTCAGGCAGGAGTGACCCTTGGTGCGCGGCCGAAGGGGGGGGGGGCCCTCTGGGGACACCACCAGGCGCGCAAGCCGCTGCTATCGCACTGCGTTCGGCGACTGGGGGGCCCCTTTGGGCCCGCACCACGGGTCACTCCAGTTCTGCCCGGCACAGAACACCCGAGCTGGTCGCGCGCGAAGCGCGCGGCCCCCCTCCGAGGAGGGTGCCCAGACTGCCTGCACGAATTCACAGGCCATCAGCCGATACAGCCTCCGGCCGGAGCCCGAGAATGGCGCCGGCTCACGCAGCCCGGAGCCGCCACAACTGCACGGGGCCCTCTGGTAGCCAGCCCTCGCCATCGCTCGGACGTCCATTCCCTGTGTTTTTTTGGTTTCGTGCGTGGTTTTTTCGCCAAATGATCAAGGATGCTCCTCGATGGTCCTCGCCGAAGGAAAAATGCACACGTCCGAGCGATGCCGAGAGCCAGGGAACACGGGCGCTGGCGCCACACCCACTTGCCAGCCGGCCCAACGAAACGATAAATTACCCACAGCAAACCAGAGGTCACTCCAGAGATGGACCACTCTCACGTGCAGCCGATATCTCACCATCGCCGCCGCCTCTTCGGGCTGCCCCGGTCCTCCCTCTGGCAGTACTCGTTCCAGACGACCCTGCGGCCCATGCAGCCGTCCGAGTCCAGGGCGTGTTCCTCCGCCCACTTGTCGCGCCTCCACCGCTCCGTCCTCAGGGACGGGGGCCTGCCCGAGGCATCGGCGGCTCTCCAGAGCGAGGCGGGCGAGGAGGGCGCAGGGGCTCGGTCCGTGGCCCCCCCCCCCTTCCTGCCCCCCCCCCTTCCCTGGAGGGAGGAGGGAGAGGAGCGAGGAGGAAGGGAGGAGGAGGAGGGGGAGGAGGGGGAAGGAGGAGGAGGAGGAGGAGGCCCCCGCGTGGGGGCCAGCTCCTGGAAAGGAGAGCAACGACGACGCACGAGACAGCGGCACGACACCGCCCGCGGGCGAGGGCGCGGGCCGCGGAACGAGGACAAGAGGAGCAGGGAGGAGGACGAGGAGGGCGAGGAAGATGAGGAGGGAGGAGGAGGACGGGGAGGAGGAAGGGGATGGGAAGGGGGGAGGGGGGGTCCGAGGAAGAGGATAGACAGAGAAGGACGGAGGGAAGGAGGGAGGTAGGGGGCGCTGGTTTCCGCGGGACCGTTTGCCCGTCGAAGTCGGCGGGCCAAGCGACACGGCCATGTGGCCCGCCCCCATCCTCCTCCTATTCCTCCGCCTCCTCCGTTTCCTTCTCCTCCTCCTCCTCCTCCTCCTCCTCCTCCTCCTCCTCCTCCTCATCCTCCTCCTCCTGCTCCTGCTCCTGCTCCTGCTCCTGCTCCTGCTCCTGCTGCTGCTGCTGCTCCTCCTCCTCCTCCTCCTCCTCCTCCTCCTCCTCCTCCTCCTCATCATCATCATCATCATCATCATCATCATCATCATCATCATCATCATCCTCATCCTCATCCTCATCCTCATCCTCATCCTCATCCTCATCCTCATCCTCATCCTCATCATCCTCATCCTCATCTCATCATCATCATCATCATCATCAGCATCATCATCATCATCATCATCATCATCAGCATCATCATCATTAGCATCATCATCATCAGCATCCTCATCGTCATCGTCATCATCATCATCATCATCATCATCATCATCATCACCATCATCATCGTCGTCATCGTCATCATCATCATCATCATCATCACCACCACCATCATCTCATCATCAGCATCATCATCATCGTCATCATCGCCATCATCATCATCAGCATCATCATCATCATCAGCAGCATCATCACCATCATCGATCATCATCATCACCACCACCATCATCATCATCATCATCATCATCATCATCATCATCATCATCCTCATCCTCATCCTCATTATCATCATCATCATCATCAGCATCACCATCATCATCATAATCAGCATCACCATCATCATCATCATCATCAGCAGCATCATCATCATCACCATCATCGTCATCATCATCATCATCATCAGCATCATCATCAGCATCATCACCATCATCGATCATCATCCTCACCACCATCATCATCATCATCATCATCATCATCATCATCCTCATCCTCATCCTCATCCTCATCATCATCATCATCATCATCACCAGCCTCATCATAATCAGCATCACCATCATCATCATCACCACCACCATCATCATCATCATCAGCAGCCTCATCCTCATTGTCATCATCATCGTCGATCATCATCATCATCATCATCGGAATCGGCATCAGCATCATCATCTGCATCATCATCAGCATCAACAATCACCATCAGCATCAGCAGCATCATCAGCATCATCATGTTCATCATCATCATCATCAACATCATCATCATCAGAACCAGCCATCAGAATCATCATCATCATCAGCATCATCATCAGCATCATCATCATCATCATCATCATCGTCATCATCATCAGAATACAATTCCTCCTCCTGCTCCTCTTCCTCCTCCACGTCCTCCTCCTCTTCCTCCTCCTCCCGCTCATCCGCCTCATCCTCCTCCTCCTTCTTCTCCTCATCCGCGTCCTCCTCCTCGTCCTGCTCCTCTTTCTCCTGCTCCTCCTCCTCCTCCTCCTCCGCCTCCTCGTCTTTCTCCTCCTCCTCTTCCCTCCCTCCCTCCCTCCCTCACTCCCGCCCTCATGCCTCCCTCCCTCTGTCATTTTCTCTCTCTCTCTCTCTCTCTCTCTCTCTCTCTCTCTTTCTCCCTCTCTCCCTCTCTCTCTCTCTCTCTCTCTCTCTCTCTCTCTATGTATGTCTCTCTTCTCTCTCTCTCTCCCTCCCTCGCTCTCCTCCCTCCCTCCCTCCCTCCCTCCCTCCTCCTCCTCCTTCTCCTGCTCCTCCTCCTGCTCCTCCTCATCCTCCTCCTCCTCGTCTTCCTCCTCCTCCCTCCCTCCCGCCCGCCCGCCCTACCTCCTAGCCTCCCTCCCTCCCTCCCGCCCGCCTTCCTGCCTCCCTCCCTCTCTCTCTTTTCTCTCGCTCTCTCTCTCTCTCTCTCTCTCTCTCTCTCTCTCTCGCTCTCTCTCTCTCTATCTCTCTTCTCTCTCTCTCTCTCTCCTCTCTCTCTCTCTCTCTCTCTCCTCGCTCTCTCTCGCTCTCTCCCTCTCTATCTATAGATGTCTCTCTCTCGTTCTCTCTCCCTCGTTCTCTCTCTCTCTCTCTCTCTTTCTCTCTCTCTCTCTCTCTCTCTCTCTCTCTCTCTCTCTCTCTCTCTCTCTATATAATATATATATATTATATATATAGATCACGCCTCACAGTATCTCTCACTCTCTCTCTCTCTCTCCCTCTCCCTTCTCTCTCTCTCCTCTCTCTCTCTCTCTCTCTCTCTCTCTCTCTCTCTCTATGTATCTCTCCCTCCTGCTCCTCCTCCGTCCCCTCCTCCTCCTCCTCCTCCTCCTCACCATCCTCCTCCTCCTCTTCCTCTCCCTCCTCCTCCTCCTGCTCCTCCTCGTCATCTTCCAATGTTTCCTCCTCTTCCTCCTTTACTCCTCCGCCTCCCCCTACAACTCATCCTTCTCCTGCGGTTCTTCCTACTTCTCCTCCTCCTCCTCCTCCTCCTCCTCCTCCCTCCTCCTGCTCCCTCCTCCTCCTCCTCTTCCTCCTCCTCCTCGTCCTCCTCCTCATCCCTCTCATCCGCCTCCTCCTCCTCCCCTCCTCCTCCACCTCCGCCTCCTCCTCCTCCTCCTCCTGCCTCCTCCTCATCCTCATCATCATCATCATCATCATCATCAGCATCATCGCATCATCCATCACATCATCATCATCATCATCATCATCATCATCATCATCATCATCCATCATCATCATATCATCATCATCATCATCATCATCATCATCATCATCATCCATCATCATCATCATCATCATCATCATCATCATCATCATCTCGTCATCCTCCTCCTCCTACTCCTCCTCCTCCTCCTCATCCCACTCCTCCTCCCCCCTCCCCCTCTCCTCCTCTTCCTCCTCATCCTCATCCTCCTCCTCGTCCTCGTCCTCCTCCTCCTCCTCATCCTCCACCTCCTCCTCCTCCTCATCCTCCTCATCCTCATCGTTCTCATCCTCATCCTCCTCTCCCTCCTCATCCTCCTCAGTTCCTCCCTCCCTTACCTCCCTCCTTCCCTCCCCCCTCCCTACCTCCCCTCCCTCCCTCTCTCCCTCCCTCCTGCCTCCATCGTTCTCTCGTTGTTCTCTCTCTCTCTCTCTCTCTCTCGCTCTCTCTCTCTCCTCTCTCTCTCTCTCTCTCTCTCTCTCTCTCTCTCTCCTCCCCATCCTGCTCGTCATCTTCCTCCTCCCCCTCCTCCTCCTGCTGCGCCTCCTCCTCCTCCTCCTCCTCCTCCAATTCCGTCTTCGTGGTTTCTTTCTTTCGTACGTCCGCTGGCACTGTCGCGCGCGTGCACTGAAGCTAGATACGTGTGCTACGACACCAACTGGCTCAAGACGACCCCGAGGGCCAACAACCGTGATAATGGTAATAAAAAAAAGCTGCTGCGGCTCCACAGCGTAAAATACAAACACCTCACGGGGAGGGAGAGAGGGCAGGAGGAAAAGGAGGAACTAAGTGACTGCAGCCAATGGTAAAGTTACAGCGTGGCAGATTCAAGCGAAACAATAACCTGTAGCTCTCCTGCGCCTCCTGCTCCTGCTAGTCCTCCTCCTCACCCTGCTCATCCTCCTGCTCCTCCTCCTCCTCCTCTTCCTCCGCATCCTCCTCCTCTTCCTCCTGCTCCTCCTCCTCCTCCTCGTCCTCCTCCTCCTCATCCTCATCATGCTCCTCCTCATCCTCCTCCTCCTTCTTCTCATCGTCCGCGGCCTCGTCCTCCTCCTCATCCTCCTTCTGCTCTTGCTCGTGCTCCTGTTCCTGCGCCTGTCCTGCTACTGTTCCTGCTCCTGTTCCTGGTCCTCCTTATCCTCCTCCACGTTCTCCTTCTCCGTCTCGTCTTCGTGGTCGTCGTATTGTCGGTCGTAGTATTACGACGAGCCGCAGCATGATTACTATTAGAACTAGTAGTAGCAGGATGAATATTGGTAGTATCCGTACTGTTATAATCACCATCAGCATTGGTAGTGTTAGTAGCACTGTGATTATTAATGTTACTATTACGATCAGCATTAGTAGTACTAGTAGTCGTGATAAGTTTGTTATCGTAATAGTCGTATTAGTAGTGTTGGTGGTATTGGTACCACTTGCAATGGTAATAATATCGGTAGCGCTGGTATCATTATTGCTGTCAATAACGGTATACTTCTAATGATTAGCAAAAGGATTCGGATTCGTGTTGGTGACGTCCTTACTAGTAGTACGGGTGTGGATAATAGTATTAAGAACTTGTTTAGCCCTCGTAGTAGCAGTCCCCTGTACTATAAGTATTGTTATTACTAATCGCGGTATTGTTCGCTACGGCAGTGCGAATACTTCTAGTTTTACTGTTGCGGGCATTGCGAGAAAGAGTCTGACTAACCGTAAGATGATTCTTCGTCGTCTTACTTTGATTGCTCGCACTATGATTACGACTGATAGTATAACTCGGATTCGGATTCGGTTTCGTTGCCTTAGCCGTAGTAGCATTGTTCTTGTTGTTCCCAATGTTCGTACCATTACTAGTAGTATTAGAAGTATTCGTCGTATTCTAAGTACGTTTAGTATTAGACGTGTTCGTGT